TGAGGTTTGGGTTGGGGTTCAAGGCCACCTGGATTTCGGTTGGGTTTCATTGGAGTTGAGGTCTCAAGTGTGAAAGTTGGGGTTTCTTCTTGTTGGGGTTGACGTTTCAAGTTTCAACTTGTCAGGCTTGGGGTATCTTCTAGGTTAGAGATGCACTTCCAATTTAACTATTAAAGGGTTGAGGATTGGGATTGGAGAGATGAAACATTATGTTATATTAAGCATGGTCTCGGACAACAATGATGGCTAGTACAAAATGTGAAGACGAATTTATGAGCATGAAGATGAAAATTGGGAGGGTAATAATTAACAAAATATAACTTTTTACTAATTAAATATATTAAAAATTTAATTAAATTATAGTAACTCGAAATAATAATTAATTTTTTGTGACAAAAAATTCAGTTACTAAACTAAAAAAATAATAATATTTGATTACTATTTTTGTCATAGATAAGACTAAATTTTTTAATCACTGATTTCGATTATTATTTGACATTCTTTTAGTAGTGATCACTTGTTGTCTATAATAATATTTGATTACTATTTTTGTCATAGATAAGACTAAATTTTTTAATCACTCGATTTCGATTATTATTTGACATTCTTTTAGTAGTGATCACTTGTTGTCTATTTTATAATAGTGTAACAAAATTTATAAGACAATTTTTATATAGTAAGGAGAGTTATTTATGTTTGCAAAGGGCTCACTTTTCTCAAATTTCTTAATAATGATTTTCCACATCTTCTTATTTCTAGGAAGAGACCATGACCTCCCTCCTCCCCAACCACAAATCAATTTTTTTTTTAATAATTATTTTATAAAAATTAAATAAAAATTATTTTATAAATATAAATAAAATTTAAATTTTTTAATTTTTTAATTTTTATTTATAATAAATATCATATTTATTCTTTTATATGATTTTTCAGTTATACTTTTTTCTTTTTCTTTCTATTTTCATATTTTTATTTTTCTCTCCCACCTTTTCATTTCCCCACTTTAACTTTTTCTATCAAACACCAATTTTGTCTTTTCATATTTCTATGCCTTATTTTCTTTTATCATTCATTCACTTTCTTATTATTCTCTGTCCCAATTTCACCTTATAATTGTGAATTTTTCTCTTTAATTTTCAATTTTTTTTTATAATTTCATCTTCTATAATATAAAAATTATAATTTTTAATTTTTAATTTTATGATTTATGTTCAAGAAGACATAAGGCAAAAAAATAAAAAATAAACAAAATACTTCATGATAATTTTTTAAAAGTAAAAAGTAGTAAATAAAATTATTTTTTTATAATCTTTATTTTTTTATTATAACAAATGTATAGTGTAATATAAAATATAAATATATTTTTTATTTATTATTTATTATAAATTATTTATTTATTTTAATATTTTATGATATTTTAATAAATAAATTTTTCTTTTTTTTAATTTTATTCTATATCAGAAAAATTGTAATTTTTTATTCTTTATTTTTTTTTTAATGTTTTTGTCTTCAGTTCAAGAATGCTTAGGGCAAATAAAAATAAAAATAAAGAAATTACTTCATAATAATTTAAAAAAATATAAAAAACAGTAAATAATTTTTTTATTATAATAAATTAACATATGTAATATAATAATATGAAATATATATATATATATATATATATATTATTTGTTATAAACAAAAAATTTCAGTTTAAATTTTAACTATTTAAAAATAAAATAACTTTTTTTTAAATTCAATTAATAATATTAAATATATAATATATTTATTTTTATATAATAATTAATTTTTATATATTGATTCCCATATAAAACTCTTTCGTCCCACGGCCATTTCATTCGGTAAATATTAGTTTGCGAGTATTAATAAATGGATAACTTTCTATAAATACAAGCGGAAAACATAAGTGTCAATGTGTCTCTATTTTTTATTATTTTATAAAATGGTATTTTTATTTATATTTTAAGATGATTCATTTAAGATGAGAGAAAAATAGGTGAGAGACAAAACTGACACCAAACGTGTAATTAATGGTATCTCAAGAAGAGAGAGAAATGATATATTTTTATTAACTAATTATTAATTACATGAGAAAACGAATAAAACATATAACTATAAAAAAAATAAAAAATTAGGATAAATAAAATATTAAACGATGATAAAAATAGTTATAAAAAGAATTTCTCTTTATATATTATTATAAATTTAGATTAAGATTACATCTTGTAAAATAAAATAAATATTATTTTTTATTATTTTTAATAAATGTATTAGTATTTTTTATGATTATTTTTATTATGTTAATAATTTATTATCTTCTTTATGATAAATACAATTAAAAATAAATATATGACAAATATTTTAACCAATATATCATTACAACATATCATATTTTTGGAGTATGATTGATAGTTTAGCAAAGGTTAAATATTATAGTGTCTATTATAAGGTACAATTAAAAAAACAAAGTGTTTTCAATAAAAGGGATTTTATCTACTCCTTAGATTGATACAACTTTAAGTATTGATTTTTTATTTTTTATTTTGGGAATAAGAAAGGTTAAATAAGTATTTAGTATTAATATTAAAATATACGCAAATTAAGGAAAAATGAAAACCAATAATTTTAGGACAGTTGCAATTATTGTCCGCAGAATGACTACGCAGTCAAATCATATAGTATTTTATTTAAAGTTATTGCTCTAGTATTATTAAAAAACTTTTACTTTTTCAAATATTTTATGAAATATGAATGCAATAAAAAAATAAAAAGAAATGTATTAGGTGGGATTGGTGTTATTTGATGACACCTTTCAAGGTTTTCCCTCCCAAACCCGACAATATTATTGTAGAAACGGGTTATTATTTCTTAAACAAAGCAAAAGAGATATTATGAATTAGTCTATTTTATTGTATTAGTTGAATATAGGATGATAATTTGTGGGATAGATTAGAAAAATTAACTCGTTCAGGGATCGATTAAATTTAAATTTTAAAATATTAAAATAATTTTATTTTTTTTAAGTTAATTTTTATATTTTTATATTTTATATAAATTTTAATAATAATTTATATTATTTTATTTATAATTTATTTATAATAATTTTTATTATATAACAATTTTTATATTTTATTATTTTTATTTGTCATATATTAAATTTTATTTTAATAATATAATTATATTTTAAAGAATTAAAAATAATTAATAATTTAAATTTTTATTTCTTTCAACTAAGTAAATAAAAATTAACTCTAACAGAAATGGAGGAATAGCAAAACACAGTCACATCTGTCGCAATGCCTACTTGAATAATTGATGATATTGCTTTCGGCACATCCTTTAGCAAGAGAATATCACTACAAGAAAATCACGTATTACCGATGGATATTTATCGATAGATTTGTATCTATCGAAAAATAATTATTACCGACGAAAATTACCGACGAATATAAAATATTTGTAGAATTTGATCTTACCGACGGATATATCCGTCGGTAAAATAATAATTAGTTACCGATGGATATATCCGTCGATAAATCCGTCGGTAATTCAGTCGATAAATTAATAATTAATTACCGACGGATATATCCGTCGGTAAATTCATCTGTAAATTACCGACGGATATTTCCGTCGATAAATTATCAATTAGTAAATATTCAACTAATTAAAAAATTTTAATATTTTTTATTTAATAATTTCATTTAATCAAAATTAGATTAATTTATAATAATTTCTTAAATTAAATAATTTTAAAAAATAAATATTTAATTATATATAAATATATAAAAATATATAAAAACATATAAAAATATTTAATTGTATATAAATATATAAATATATAAATATATATATATATATATATATATATATATATATATATATATAATATATATATATATATATATATATATATATATAAATATAAATATATAAATATATAAATATATAAATATATAAATATATAAATATATATATATATAAATATATAAATATATAAATATATAAATATATAAATATATAAATATATAAATATATTAAAATATATTTGTATATAAATATATTTGTATATAAATATAATTTATTTGTAAATTATTATCGAAAAATTCTGGTAGCTTAGTGGTTGGAGTATCGACCTCTAACTCTACAGATCTTGGGTTCGAATCCTGCTAATGACAATTCTCTTAATCGATAATAATTGAAGCCTATAAAATTGTAATAGGGAAAAATAATTAATAATAAATAATAAAATTATAAAGGGAAGGTGTATTCTATAAAATAAATAATCTATATAAGTAAAATATTTAATAAATAATAAAAATTGTAATAGGGAAAAATAATTAATAATAAATAATAAAAATATAAAGGGAAGGTATATTCTATAAAATAAATAATTTATATAAGTAAAATATTTAATAAATAATAAAAATATTACCGACAGATTCTCGTCCGTCGGTAATTTCAGTCAAACATTTAGCGTATATCCGTCGGTAATTACCGACGGACTATTAAATCCGTCGGTAATATTTACCGACAACCAAATTTCCGACGGATTTTTGGCCGTCGAAAATCCATCGATAAATGAATATTACCGACAGATTTTTGTTATTACCGACGGATTTTGACCGTCGGTAATATCAAAATTTCTTGTAGTGATAATTTCAATTACATATTATATCTTCCATGTCTTATTTAACATATTATTATCTCTCTTTGCTTTAATACTGATCGATAGACAATAAATACAAATTACATATACAATTTACATATTGAATAAAAGTTATAAATTGCGTAACTGACTGGTAGTATTTATTAGTTTTTTTTTTTTTTCTAAAAACAAGATTAGTTTCTTACCTTTATTGTAGGGTAAGAGGTCCCATTATTTAATTATTTGTGAGGTGTTAGGTAAACTATGTGCCTATATAAATGGACATCGTTGTGTTATTCTTCGCCATCCCTCGTCCTTGTTCTTTTCATTTCTTGCTTCTTTGTTGGCGATCATGTCACTTGCTGGTAAAATCAGCATTGAAATAGGGGTTCGCGCCACTGCTGCAAAGTGGTTCAACCTCTTTTCAACGCAACTCCATCATGTTCAAAACATTACTGATAGAGTTCATAAAACCAAGCTGCACCATGGTGATGATTGGCATCACAGTGAATCCATCAAACACTGGACTTATGTCATAGGTAATTAAACTTCTAATAATTCTATGTAGATTATTTTGTAAGTTTCAGTACTATACTTTTAAAGTGTCTATTTCTCTTTCTCTCTATATATATGAGTTGACTTTTTAAAACATAAACTTAAATTTAATACAACTTTACGAAATTAAGTTATAAGACAAAAATGACGTAAGATTCTATAAAAGTTCTTAAAGAGGTAAACTTAAGGGAAATGATGTAAGATTTATTTCTTAAAGAAAATGAACAACATGAAAAGATGATGAAAGTTGCAATTGAAAACTAAGTTAGATATATAAATGAATTGTTTTTCTAGGTATAATTCTGATAGAGTTATTCATTATACTGGTGTAAATTGGTTGTGAAAGAACAGATGGTAAGGTTACAACATGTCATGAGAGTATTGAATCCATTGATGAAGAGAACAAAAGAGTGACCTTCAAGATCTACGGTGAAGAAATCGATCACCAGTTCAACCTCTTCAAAGTCATATTACATGTAGTTGATAAGGAGCATGGTGGTGCTGTTGTCAAATGGGTGGTTGAATATGAGAGGGTTGCTGAGGAGGTTCATCCTCCATATGGTTACATCGAGTACTTTCACAAATGCACTGTTGATATCGATGCTCATCTTCTCAAGGCATGACTCCAAAATGTTATGAAGAAGATAAATAGTAATAATAATGAGTGTGATCTTTGACCAGAAGGTGCTTATGTGGACCCTTCGTTTGTATTGAAAAATTTGGATATGCATGTCTAAGTGATGTTAAATTTCATACTATAGTGCTCAGTGTGACGGTGACGCACATATATAGTGCATGTTTACCACAAATATATATATTTTTATTCTGTGCTTTATAGTTGTTTATAGTTAAAGTTAAGGTTTGCCAAAATTCACCAACACATGGAAACGCATTAACGACGACTTCAGAAATTTAATGTACCTGTTTCCATTTGATAAACCAATATAGTAAAGTATACGAACAAAATATACAAAATTAATAACAATTATGTCACCCCAGTTCTATTCATCATCGGATTCAGAGGAGAAGGAATACTTTTGTATAAAAATTTTGTTATTGATAATTGGATCGGGATCCGTGGGTTTAATCAGTCTACTTGAGAATCAATTTTAAATCAATTTATTATTTTTAAATAATTAAATTTTAATTAAACTGGTACAAATAAAAAAAATAATTGAATTGAATTAATTTTGATAAAAAATTTAAGATTAATTTTTTTATAAAAAATATAATGTATTATAATTTTTTATTTTATTTCATATTAATTAAGTTAATTTTAAATAATAATTATTTTATTATATTTTTATCTTATTTTAATAATTATTCAACTTATAATTTTTTAATATATTTTTATATCTATAATTTTTATTATAATTTATAATTATGGTGAATAAGAAAAGAGTCAAGAGTCTCCTCTTCTTCACACTTTTTGCATCTTAAACTCTGTGGTAGAACTTCTATTCGATCCCAAGCATTATTTAATCCAACACCCCCATCTCTCGTCAAAACCCACCCTTTTAAGCATACATAATAAAAACTATCCATAATCATATGTGTTCTTATAATCTACTTTAAATATTAGACACTTTTATATAACATTTAAGCTTCACTTGCCATTTCATTTACAATCACAATATTATAAAATATATTTCTTTTATTTAAAAAAAACAGTTTGTCTTACTAGAGGAAGAACCCTTTCTAATAACAAACATCTAAAAAATGTTTATCTTAAACTATTAATGTTTATCTTAAAAAATGATTAGCTTTAATTGAATATATATTAATAATATAAATTTCAAATTATTTATTTATTCTTTTAAAATATACCATATAAAAAATTATGAAATGTTTATTTTGGACTCGAAAAAGTATTTTATCATGTAATAATGTTAAAATAATCCATCTAAAATAATAATGATGAATAATGTATTTTTATACTTATCTGACTAGATAGGATAATAAATTATTAACTTCACATTATTAATTTTTATTCATCGATTATTTTTTATTATAAAATTATTAGTATCGTTTGAATAATTAATGTACGAGATGTTGTTGGTATTGGCCCTTATAGTAGCAGCAGACATTGATAGCACGAATGAATGGTGTAATTATTACTGACAACACACCACTGTCGAGCAGTAAACGGGAAGAGTTATGGGGACACCACATGTGCACCTGCCATATACAATCACTACTGACCATCATATAGAATACACGTTTCGAATTCATTGGTAAAACAAAAACATACCAGGGAAATTACAAGACCAATAAATTGAAAATCTATAAGTATTAAAGCCCAACTTGACACTAAGATGAATAACTCCCTGTTACTAGTATTAAATTCACAAAGTTACGAGTTAAAAATTTGGTGTAATAAATATATGGTGATTTATGAAGAAATTTGAGTATAATTTATTTTGACAAGATAGATAATAATATAGTTGTTTATTTTTAATATATATAAGTATAATTATAATTATAATTATAATTAACTAATTCATAATATTATTGTCTTAGGAGATTAAAAGTTTGAATAAGTTATGATTATAAACGAGAAAATATGATTTGAATCTTCATCAAATACTTTTACTCTTAATTCACCATTTTCACATCGAAGTCTACTTGAATTAAAAAAATCAAATAAATATATTTTTAAGGATTTATGTTTTGTGATTGAACAAATTATAAGTAATTATTTTTTTTATTTGTGATATTATTCATTATATAAAAAATACAATATATTTTAGATTTTGATTGTGATGTAGGATTTTTTGGTTGAAGAATTAATGTATCTAAGATACTTTTAGTTCTTGTGGTTGCTAAGATTATCCTAACAACTCTCCTTGCCCGACCCGAGCACCCTAGTCATATTTGAGCTGCAAGAGTAGGTGTAGGGATTAATTAAATCTTTATTTGAAACAACATCGCATCAATCACATTTCTCTTCTAATGGCCCTAGTAAGGAGTATATACATAATTTCATAGCACAATTAAGGGAGGAGAATAAAGATGAATTGAGGGAGGAACTCAAACAGAAGGTCACAAAGACTATGACATAAAACTTGTAGCAGCAGTTTAATCAACGATTCATAAACCTAGGGCTCTCTCAACTTACAACTGCTGTAGAACCATATGTGCTATACCAGGGAGGATAGAGATCATCCTATATCAAGTATGAGCTTTATGTTGAAGACATTTATTCTTTTTTATTGGTGGCATTGGGGGAGATATTTGAAGAGGTCACTATGTTATATAATGTACCTCTTCTTGCTGATTTTGTCAAGGTCATGGTAAATAAGGTTTGTGATGATGATGTTGTTGTACCTATGCCAATAGATGAGATTGCTACTATCACATAAATACTTAAAACTTTCATTGCTTGTCTAGACATCTAGTTAGAATCATATCAAACATCACAATATCACAATAACGATCCTACTATTTAATATTTGTTTATTATATTGTTTCTAATATTAATGTTATTTATGTGAAACAACAGTGTTAGAAAGATGGGAAAAAGAAGCAATATACTATTAATAACCTTTTGCCTAGATTGTTGGATGTGTGTGAGGGTCATTAGCACCAACCCAATTAAGGTGCCATGTGACTCTAATGTTTTTGGTAGAGAGAGTAAGGTCCCATTATATTTATACATGTCTCATGTGTTAGAGATTACATTCGACAATCTAGAGCTCAAGACATATGCTATATAATTGTAGATTATGTAAGTTATTTAAACTAAGATTCTTACTATTTTAGTTATTGAAATAATTCATTAATCATGATATATGTTACTCGCTATAGGTATACATCTCAACTATGCATGAATGAGGAGAAATACGAGGTTTATGAATTTGTAGATCCTCAACTCATTCAATCATTGAGTAATAAGAAAACATAAGCACAAACATATATCACAAATACTCATTTTTGGAAAAAAGAATTTGTTTTGCATCATAGGTTTATGAGTAAGTACATTTTATTTATAATTTATCTTTACTTAATTCCAACTTTGACTAATAACATGTTTCAATGTCGTCATCATTGACAATTTGTCATTTATATAATTGACAATATGACTACATGATTTTACTCGTTGTACAAAATATCGCCTATATACATTAAACAAATGTATATAAACAAATAACATATTGATAAAAAAAATATGGTTCTTTTTATATTTAATTATATTTTAGATAATGTTTTCATTATATATAATATAATGAGCGATAAATCAAGTGAAATACCACAAAAATTCACTTGGTTATATCTAGAGGTATAATTACAAATATTGATTTTAGTTTCATTTTTTTACTAACAAACTAATTTATTTTTTATATTTAGAGTATGAATGACAAAACGGATAAGTATATATATATATATATATATATATATATATATATATATATTAAAATAGTATTTAATTATATGAATAATTTTTATGTTTTATTGATTAAATCAAATTTGTATAAAGATAAATTAAAAAAATTATTATATTTGTATGTTAAAATAACTAATTATAATCAATAATTTAAACTTAATTAGTTAATATTTATAATTTAAATTATAATATTATAATATATTTATATATGTCAATAATATGATATAAAAATGTAATATTTATATTATATTCCTTTTTATTTTAATATATAAATATATTTTAAAGCGAGTTAGCCCAACTAGCCCCATCTTTGGTCCGTCAGGTTGCCAGGTTAAGTAGGGTGGACCAAAATGGGATCATGAGTTAAAACTATCAACCTATCCAACCATTTTTAAGATAGGCTAATGGGTCAACCTAGTGACCCTAACTCATTTTGTTATACCTAATTTTGAGTTATAGTCTAATAGACAAATCGGAGGATATGAGTGTAGCTACTATGGAATGCAATGATGACATTTGTACTAACAAGAATAGAAAGAAGTTGAGATCGGGTAAGACAAATATATGTTTACAAATGATTATACATTATAAAGTTAGTTATATATTAATTATATTTATATAAACTTATTTTTTATGAACACATCTCCAATAGATACATATGTCATAACATATATTAGATGCATATGGATAATATACTTTATCAACTTGATTAACACATTAAGATAATTGACTTTTAGGTAAATTAACACATTAAAATGTATACTTAATTAATAATAATAGTTAAATATTATTAAATTATAAATATTTATTCTTTATAAAAACTACATAAGAAATATTTAAATTAATTTATTATAGATATAATTAGATTTTTAGAAATAATATAAAACGGGGATGGGTAAAGGGTGAGAAAACCTGAAACCTAACGAGGATGAGAATGAAGATTTAATTTCAAACTCCAGATAGGGAACGAGGATAAAGACTGTTGGTGGCATAAAATACTGATAAAAATAATAAATAATTTGCTAAACTAATGCAATATAGCTAACCCGTGTCAAATCTCACAAAGACACAATTATAGAAACGTTATAAACAGTTAAATAATAGAAATTAAAATAAGTACTAAATGAATAAAGTAAATAAAACAATATACACTAAAATTTTTAATAGAAATTTTAAATTAAATAAAAGAGAACAAATCGGAAGTGCAGTAACAATAGATGGGCTCACCTAACTAAAAAT